CCACAGTGATGTTTCACTTGGTGCCCAGATCGAAACTCTGTGCTGCTTGGTTAGCTCGCAAACAAAGGGCCCACCCTGCTTGCTGCAGGCAGGCTATGAAGACAAAAGCTGGACCTCACTCTTTTATGTCCACCATTCTTCATAAAGGAGATGGCCAGAATACTCACAGGGTTTGCCAGAGGACTCTGCTTTTCTCCTGGAGCAGTGATGAGCCCCAAAGGTCGGTTAACCTTTGCAGGCATATGGAAGGTAGGCCTGAGGAAGCAGACACTGGGTGTCTGCCATCCGATGGCACAGTCCTGCGGTGGAGAACGGACACTAGGACCAGGCAGTCATCTGTGAGTCCTCCTCCTCTTACTAATTACCTGCATAACTTGGGAAGCAAATGAGTCTCAATGGACCTCAAGCTGGTTAGAATGGATGCCCTGCCGAACTGTGGGAAGTCACAATTGAGAGCCACTCAGCACAGCCAGGGAGGCCCTGTGTACAGTTCACATGGCCCACACACAGCTGAAGATGAGTGTCAGGACGTGAGGCTCTCTCAAGACTGTTGGTGCCAGCTTTTATGCCCTCTGTTCCAACCAGACCATTCCCCCAAAAGGCTGGCATTTCAGCCTGCAGTGTTCCCAGTTTGTGTTGTGTTGGTGCAGGTGTGGGGGACGAGGATGTCATGAACTCTTAACAGGCGACTTAATGTTCAGCAAATGACGTTCTTACTGGGATTAATTGCTAAGTGTCATGTTGTCAAGTCTTACTAACTCAAATTAAAAAAACAAACACCCCAAAAACAATGGGAAAGAATACTTTATTGTTGGTTTTACATTGGAAGGTGCTTTAGCAAATTGTGGTCATAGTTCAGAATCAGTTTTGGAACTTTCCCTCGGGGGTCAAATAATGAGTTAAGGCCTATAATGGCAATTTCATTCATTCTTTTAGCCAAAGAAATGGCTGCTACGTGTTGCAGAATGCTACAGGATGTTTATGTACAGTCAGTCTCCAGGTGCGAGTCATGGTACAGGTGGGCGGTGCCTCGAGTTAGCAGAGGTTATATGGCCGGCTGAGTGAGACTCGGTTGTTTTCTAGTCAGACATCAAGGAAATGCTCCCTTTTAGATCCCACTTTACTTTTATGTGCCTCATTCGTTCTATTCAAGTAAAGTCACCTTTATTGATGTGTTCATTGAAGTAACTTTGAAAGTTGTGAATGTGACCTCTTTCTTAAATCTGTATGAAATGTGTCTCTAGCAGGTGCCCGAAGCAGTTCGTGGAACCCAGGCAGCCAGCTGGCATAGCTTTCGTACTGTGGCCCAGCATAGTTCCAGCATCTAGAACATAGGTGTTGTTGGGAGAGTCTTGGTCCTAAGCCCTCACTTATCTTCTCTGGATGATTTGAGATGGGAATACTTCATTGGGCCTTATTCTTATTTTTCTACTCAGGGGCCTTGGCAGTAGTGACTTTCTTTGTAAAACTTAGCAAAGAGGGGTAGATTAAAAACAGGCTTTCTATAAGATATTGCAAATGGATTTGTGTCTTTTAAACAAAGTGTAACTGGAAAGTCTAGCTGGCCAGTAACGGAGTGCAATGGCCAAGGGGGCTATTGCTATTGCTTAGCACACTGTGCTTCCGCCATGGCTGCCCTGAGCACTTCCACCTGTGTTGTGTTGCTTACTCTCATCCACGAGGGAGTATTGCAGGCTCCACTGTGTGATTAGCCATAGACACCTGTTCAGGGTCACCTGACTCTCAAGCCCTAGATCCTTAGGATGATTTTGATAAACCAGGGTTGGTGGGGTACACCTCTTATCTCAACACTTGTGAGGTGAAGGGAGGAAGATTCTCAGGTACACAGAGTTGTGAGCGGGCATGGAGTACATATGAGCCTAAGAGCCTAAGAGGAAAAGATGCTGCTGCATGTCAGCCATCCTTCACAGGGACAAATACCTGAGATCAGCTGCTCAGGACAGGAAAGTTCCACCCGAGTGCATGGTTTCACAGGGTGCTGGTGTGGTCAGTGGCTCCGTTTGCTCTGGGCCTGTGGTGAAACAGCATCGTGGCATGTCTGGGAAGGGCATGGTGGGTAAGAGGTGCTCATCTGACAGCCGCCCCAAGGACATGCCCCTAATGACTTACTTCTGCCAGCTGAACCCAGCCTCAGCTATATCCTTCATCATCCTGAATCAGTCATTGAATAATTCAGCAACTGCACCAAAGCCTTAATAATAACCTCTCATGGCTGGATGTGCCAGCTGGAAACCAACTCTTCATCCATGAGCCTTTTCAGGAGAGAATTCATATCCAAACATAGCACACTAAGTGCTAAGTATCCCTTAGACTATGGCCATATTGCATCTCTGGGCATCTAGATACCCTGTTGTGATGCTGACCACAGAGACCAGGACTTTGGTTCAGCCCCTGTGCCTGGCCCAGTCCTTACTTACGTGAGGAAGCAGTATGACTGCACAGCTAGATTAACCCTAGAGTGTACTATCTGTGAATTTTCCAGAGCCTGACAGTGAAACGGCCAAGAGCCACAGTTGCCCTGTTGAATCTGAGGTCAGACAGAAGAAAGGGACCTGTAGATATCTCACCACTCACTCTACCTGTCTGGAATCTGTCTCCCAGAGAGTACTCATGTAGACAGCATAGTGTTCTAATGACCTAAGTCTTTTTGTTCCCATTTTGGTGACAGAGGCCAAAGGAGAGTGATTAGATTACTCACCTGCCTAAAGGCATACAGCTTCACAGGGGAAAGAACTGGGGTTCCACCTGTGACTTTACACCTCAGGGTCAGGGAAGGGTAAGGCTCACAGCTGTCCACAAAGAAACTGATGGCCACTGAGAAGAGGTTGACTAGCTAGGGCCACCTAACCATGGTTATTTTCCTGAGGCTTCACACCTGGTTTCTATACCCACGGGCTATATGACCAACTGCCCCTGCCACCCATCTCTTGGGGCAGGCTTGCCGTTCAGAAAACCGCCCTGAAACCAGTGCCATTGAACATTCACGGCTGGACCCTGTTAGACTTTAGTAAGTGTTGACCTTGCACTTATTAAGAAAGTGGTCCTCAACCTGTGAGTCACAACCTTTTGGGGGTTGAATAACTCTTTCACGGGGGTCGCCTAAGACCATTGGAAAACACAGATGTTTACATTATGATTCTGACAGTAGCAAAATTACAGTTATGAAGTAGCAATGAAAATAATTTTATGGTTGGGGATCACCACAACATGAGGCACTGTATTAAAGGGTCACAGCATTAGAAAGGTTGAGAAGCACTGGCTTAGGGGAACAGGGTTTGGGGGTTTTGTCTGTTTATTTGTTTTTATTAACTCCGTTTCATCTGACCTGCCCTGTAGTAGAGGCTGCTCTCCACCGGAGCTCCTGCCACTATCAGCACTCTCTTCACCCTTTCCTTAGAGGCTGGCCGTTTCTGAGGTGGCATACTGAACCCCTGGGCGCAGGGAAACCAGAACCAAAAGCTACACCTTGTGCCTGGATGGGAGGAAACCAGAAACAAAACCAGGCAACATTCCAGTAATAAGTCACCTAGACTCATTGGTAATTGTGTTTAGGAACAGTTTCAAAGTAACTAAGGACAAGATTTAAAAGAGCAGAACTATATTTTATCATTAGGGGGGAAAAAGAATAAAATGCCTTCCTGGAAAAAAAGCCTATGCACCCCTAAGGGGATTAGTGCAGGTAAATTAGCACCTACAACTAAAGTAATTCCACATTCTCAGAAATACTGCTCTCCTAAGTCACTGCTGAGCAGACAGTCGACAGCTGATACTTTCTGACTCAGAAGTGAAGGTTTCATTCTCTTAGTCTCTTTGAAGCCTAATGAGAAGAGCCATTAGCAGCGCTGACACCACAGTGCACAAGGCAGCCTCCTCTGCTCAAGCGTCCTGCTGGGAACTGCCCCGCCCATCTGCCCTCCTGAAGCATCGCCATCTCTCATCGGTCTAGGGTAGAGTGAGGCCTCTGTGTTCTGATGAGCAGCCAGGCTTGTGCAGGGCTCAGGGGCTACAGAAGAAAGGTGGCTCTGTCCCTTGAGAGAAGCTGGTTCCTGAACAAGTTAAGAAATGTCACAGTGACACTGCACCAGGGGAACTCCAGAGAAAGTGCTCCCATCTTCTCTGGGGCCAGGCCTTAAATTAACATGGTGCCTGTGCTGTTGTCCCCAGCCAGTGAGAAGAGATGGGAAATGTGACTTGCACTTGCACCCTTTAGAAGTGACAGAGGTGCCATCACGGGTGGGAAGTGCCTGGCTCACAGAGAACATGTACTCTTCTGCCAGCCCAGGCAAGGCCAACAGGAAAACGTTTCATTGATGTCATGGGCAGAGAGAACAGCTCAATGCTGGCAGTCATGTAGCCTGAGGAGTTTTTTCAGAGTCTTCTGGTTGGGGACATCAGGATATGGACTTTAGAGAAAACATTTTAGGACAGGTCAGTATGGAGTAGACTTGGGGCTTATTCTGAGAATATTCTGCAAACCTCTAGCCAGGAGTGCAGCCCTAGTGCTATTGATCACACAAGCTCTTGATCACATAAGACTCTCAAGGTTCACAAGACCGTCACTGTCACAGGCCAAGAAGCCTGCCAGCCTCTGCCTCACAGTCTTCCTCATACCAAGTTTTCTGTCTAAAAATGTTGCCCTAGAGATAGGTGGCAGCAGTTGGCTCCTATAGAAAAGGTGTCTGGGAAGTGCTGAGCCAGCTTCCTCTGTCCAGCAGCTAGAATCAGCTGTTCCTAAGTCCAGACTTGGGAGGGAGAAACTCTGCCAACCACCGCAACAGGCTTGGTCTTTGCGCAGGCTAGCATTTTTCTTTCATAGAGTGTGGTATTTTTCAGAGAATCTTCTGGAAATGCCCTGTGCTAGCCAATAGGATTGGGCTGTGATCCTTAGAAGGTGGGTGGAAGGTCAAAGGTTTCATTCCATATAGCCCCTTTCTTTAGCTCCATCTGATGTCATTCTGAGTATATGTGTTTCTTTGCAGTTTGAACAAGAAAACCAGCGACTCATTGGTGAAATGAACAGCTTATTTGATGAAGTGAGGTGTGTATGTAGCCAATGACTTGATGACCGCTTTTCCAGACACCTGGGGCTTTTTCTATTCTCTTTGGCATCCAAGCACCCATATGTAACTGGGCAGGGCTGGCTCGACCTGTGGGAGACTGGCTACAACAGCAGGCTTGTGGGTGCTGCAATGTGCAGAAGGAGTGGTTGCTAAAGACAGGTCACCCCAAAGTGGGAGCACACCCACAGCACAGGGCTGCTTGGGTGGAGTGGCTGTGAAATGCAGTAGGGCCTTGCGGCAGGTGCTTGCTCCAGTAGTGTCTGCTTCCAGGGGACCAGGCTCACACATCTGGAGGCTCCAGGAAACTCATTCAGGCCTTTGTCCCACAGGAGTGTTGCAGTGCTCTGGAAGCACCTGCTGGATCTTTGTACAGCTCCATCCCATTCACGGTGCAGCCCCTCCCAGCCTGGGGACTTACTTGGGTCAGGGCTACTCCCCTTGGACAGTCCCAGGGGTATTTTGTCCCAAAGGTGTCCAAGGCCTCCCTCTTAGCCTAGCTCCCCCATCCCTACCCACCTTGTTGTGGATAATTGGTCCTTCCCGTCTCCTGTGTGCCATCCCCATTTGTGTGCCTTTCTCCTCCCACTGACTTATAGCTGTGCTGGAGCAGTTAGTTTCAGCTGAGCCAATGTCCACTTTTGGCCCGCACAGCCCAGCCCACCCAGGGTGCTCCAAGCTACAGGAAGCAGGAAAAGGGCTCACCCAGTGTTTCAAGTTGGGCAAGCGCTTAGTTGCTAAACTAGGTGGGATGATCACAGACTGAACTGGAGCATTTTTTTGTCACAGGGAGCTGACTTGAGAGGGAAATGTCCCTTTTTGCAGATGGGCTTTCCAAGTGACAGCGCCTTTTGATTCTCCACCATGCATCACACAGTAGCTAGGCTGTGCCGAGGACTTCCTGTATCTGCCCGGTTCCTCTCCCCATCTGGAGTGGCTGCCCGTCTTCTTTTGTTCTCACCTTGATGGTGAGAACTGCAGGAATGTGGGCCATTCCTCTTAGATTACCAGGAGTTAATAACTGACATGTCACCTTTTCTATTCTTTTTTGAAGGCAAATTGAAGGGAAAGTTGTTGAAATTTCCAGACTCCAAGAGATATTCACCGAAAAAGTTTTGCAACAGGTAAAAAGACCCAGAGGCCCAGCAGTTTTGAGTTTGGGCTCGGACAGAAGCACGAGTGGTGCAGATTAGGCAGCACCATGTTTTGTTAGGCAGCCAAACCACTCAGGAGTACCAGGTAAAGTTTCCTATCACCTCACAGCAACTGTGGCAAATCTGAGGGCTCTGTATGGGGACCCTGATTAGAGCAGAGTAGCCCCTGTAAGCTAGGTATCTGGTGGGTAGGAGGGTGCAGTCCAGGGCTGGGAATCAGGAGCCCCTCCACACCATTGCTCCCTATCTGTAGAAAGGGAAGAAACGGAGGGCTGCTGCCCCACAAGTGTATAATGGAGAGCAGCTTTGGTCCACAGTGCTCCAGAAATTAGATAGTCTCTTAGCCAGCCCATGCTGCCTTGGGGACACAGTCTGATGGTGGTAGGGCTGCTCCAGGCGACCTTAGGACTTCAGTGTCCATGGACTGTAGAAGACTTTGGGGAGAACACCTCTCTCTGTCTCTGGGCTGCTGGCTCACTCACAATGCAATGCCTGAACCTCACAACAGAGTTGAGTCAACATGCACATGCATGAAGTGGAAGCTAAGGACTCTTCACAGGTTTCTTATAGATCTATCTACCCAAGCCATGTGTGTGGAGGTCATGAAGCCTGGAGACAGGCTTTGTGCAGACACCTCGGCTTGATGGCGTCAGCTGCATCACACAGGAAGCCATCAAAGCAATCTCCTCCCGGCCTAGCATCTTGCTGTGAGGAGAGCTCACCTTGGATGAAACACCCAGGATGTTGCAGGGTGATCAGGCTTCAGTCTGGACACTCTACCCTGTGTGCTGTGGCCATTTCCTAAGCCCTGTTCCCTGTCTGAAGTAGAGCTGGTGAGCCCCGCCTTACTCTCAGACAACAAATAGGACCACTGACCTACCTGGCCTACGCCAGGCCTTGTGATGGGACTCTAACCAAGCCAGGCGGTGCCCTGCTTTGGTAACAGCACACATGCCACTAGAATACGTCCTCTACATGGTACTCCAGTGACACGGTCGCAAGTACCCAGCCGACTACCAAGAGAGGCCAGCTGCCACAGCAGTCACTGCACCAGAGGCTGGGCAAACAGCCCCACTGAGAGACAAGAGAGCTGCCTCAGGGGAGGTGATGTGATTTAGGGGGTTGCTGCCCCTCTAGAATCCAGCCAAGGGCCTCTTGGACTTCCATGTTAGGGGCTGTTTATGGCAAACCTCTCAGCTCCTGATCTGATATTCTCCACCGGGGTGTCACTACCCATGTGTCCTGGTCCATGTGCACTCCAGTAATGACACTGCTAGGAACTGGGTGGTTGAAGCCAGATTTCCATTCTGCAGCATTTCATCAGGCAGGGCTCCCTAAAAACCCACAGTAGGGCACACCTCCCTCAGCAGGGAGATCAAAGGCAGTGTGGTAGGGTCTCCTATAGCATGGTCTCATGAGCCAGGACCAGCAGCCCCACTTCCATGTTCTCTCAGCATCTGTCCGTGGCATTTGTCACCAACAATTCATATATTTAACTCTTATCCCATTAGCAGTGTGTTGAACCATGTTGTTTGGGTGGCTAGTGTGTTTCAAAGTCTGGACCATTTCGAAGCTGACTTCTAGACCTTATGAAGAATAAATGGAATGCTTGGTGGGAGTGGCCAGTCCAGAATCAGCAGATCATGTTTGTCCTTGTCACTTGACAGGTGACACCTGAGAGGTGATAGGTAGCAGACAGTGCAGGCTCTACGGCCCAACAAAAGCCTTATTCTAGTCCTGCCACTCACACTGTGTGGCCTCCTATAAGCTCGTAAACATTTCTGAGCCATGAGTTTCCCTTCTTCTTTGGGTTGGGTGGTACCTACCTGTCAGGTGAGCATTCCAAGGCTGTATATGCACAGCCTCTAGAACTAGAAACATGGCAGCAACTACTTGCAGGAGGATAACTTCTTGGTTGGGAGGAGATGACTGGGTTTATCTGACACTTTCCATAGGAAACCGAGATCGACAACATTCACCAGTTAGTTGTGGGGGCAACGGAAAACATCAAGGAAGGCAATGAAGACATCCGAGAGGTGGGTACCTGGGGCTCTCGGGTCTGATTTGGCACATCACTGTGTCCCAGCAGCCGAGTCTCACTGGTGAGGCTGTCCAAGAGCACTGTGTAGAGCTCAGGGCCCATCCTGCAGCTGTAGCCATGGTGTATGGTCAGGGCCAGCCTAAGAGCATGTATTCAGAAGACTTGCTGGCTTACTTTCAGCTCATTCTCAAGAGAAAGTAGTTCCTGGCCCTGTAAGAACAGTATAGGTGGGAGAACATCCAAGTTGGGCCAAGACAATCCGAAAACAAGGATAAGCCCACTGAGGGCAAGAGCCCAGAAACTGTCTGGAGGGCATCTGGCCCTCTGAAACTCAGACCTCCTAGTAGGCCCATTACAAGACAAGAGCATCACTGGGAAACCTGAGTAGTCTGTGGGGAGTTGAGTCCTGGGAGGTCAGGCTCTGCCCACCCGAAGAGGATGAAGGGTAAGAGCTCAGTGTAAAGGTACTTGCTGCCATACAGGGCAACTTAATTTTGATTCCTGAAATCCCATGGTAGAAGCACAGAATTAATGTGGCCTTACACCCCACGCACACCATGACATGCATTCCCACCTGCCCAGAGACAGAGAGAAATGTAATTTTAAAATGGATTGCAAGGCATGTGTTTTCTGTCAGGTCTCCATGCATGGTGGCTTTTGTTCCTGCTTAAGCCACCTATCTAGGGCATTCATAGAGGTATACATGGAAGGGTAGGTACCTAGCTCTCTGACACCTGTGCTCCTTCTACCAGGCCATCAAAAACAACGCCGGCTTCCGAGTGTGGATCCTCTTCTTCCTTGTGATGTGCTCCTTCTCCTTGCTCTTTCTTGACTGGTATGATAGCTAGCCCACAAGAGCTGCACCTGTGCCTCCTGCTGCCTCAGACACCACATGCCAGCATGTGTCTCATCTGCTGCGCAGCTGTGTAAGGTCCAAGGGCTGGGGAGACGTGGCCCCCAAGCCGATATTTGGAACCTATGAGACCGTGGAAATGCATCGATTGAAAGTGCCCTAGACAGTCTTCAGGGGCAGAGGGTAATGGGGCTAGGCAGTCAGGGGCTGCACCTCCAGGAGAGACCACAAGCACGGCGGGGCAGAGCAGGGCAGGGATCTGACACACCTGCTATCCCCATTACAATGCTTGGGACCTTGTCTCCTGCCCTTCCCACACCAGTAGCTTCAGGGAAGAACAGACCTAATGTTTCTAAAGTCATTGGTTCTTATTTCCTTATGGCGTCTAATATGTGCCGCTACGTGGCCATTTTGTCATAGAAAATCATTCACATCTGCCTTGTCAAGCTAATAAATGCAATTACAGCCACTTATTGCAGTCAGTGAGTCTCCACCGAGCAGCTCTGGATGCCACCTGGCCGGACAGGCACTCTGGTGCCCTCCACTCTCTCTCCTGCCCTGGCTCCCAGCATGTGAACAGCAAAGCCAGGGCCTAGGTCATGTGAAACCTGGCTTCCTGCCACTGGCTCTCAGAAGCTTGTGTTCCAAGAAGGGTGTGGATTTCAGAAGAACAGGCCTTCTGCCACTGTCCCTGCACACTTTCCCCTCCAGAAGAGGCTGTGTGGTTGCCTGTTGAGAGCTAGAAGTGTACAGGACACAGCTGCATCTTTGCACAGATTTATCCTGGTGTCACTCAATTCCTCCTGAAGCGCATGAGTACAGACAGTTCAGTGTGCAGCTAGGTACCCACGAGCTCTTTATTTGCAGGGAATGTGAGAAGGTACATTGGGAGGATCCACAGTGGGTAAAGGGCTGCTACTAGAAAGCACAGTGGGGCTTGCCTGCTGCACTCATGGTTGGGAGTCAGATCCCTCTGCAGGACAAGCTTTGGCACGCGTTTATTGCTCTTTGTGCATTCCTCACAGCTTCCCAACGCCCTTCAAGCACATGACTGTGTGACCCCGCCACTCCCCAGCCCCGTGCTGAGCTCATGGTCTTTGTTTTGGAGCACCCCAACAATAAAATATTCTGTCTCAGTAGCACACCTCAGGGAACAACAGTGTGGCTGACGGTGGCCACCATGCTGGTTCACAAAGAATCTCACACTATTTGCCATCTATTTCTGACCTACTAAGGAACACTGAAACTTCTGACATACCCACTAGAAACAACACATTCTGAGAACATGGAAGAAAACAACATGAATAGCTTTTTCTATTTAATTGTCTTACACATTTACCTACTGGTGATTTTGTAAACATATACTTTAATGTCAAGATTCGGATTGAAACATAAACATACTTTTCTTACAAAGACTGTGGACTCAGATATTCTCTTTGCAAGGTGCCACATCAGCCCCCCACCAGCCATCCTGCCCCCTTCTCATAACACAGGAGTCACATCTGTTCACAGATTAAAAGCTACAATAGCCCTGGCTTACCCAAATTACATTTTCACTTTGCCCACCCAGCTAATAAAATGAAAAACCAAAACCCACCTGCATACAGGGCTGTACGTGCAAACATATTCATAACAGGAAAGAAAGGGGCCAGTGGGGGTTCTTCCTATCTAGCACATCACCAGCAGACACCCCACCCCCAGGAAAACAGGTTCTGCACCCCATGGCCGAGAGCCAGCTCCTCCCCACCCCAACCTTGTGCTCTGCTCAGTGCACACACCAAAGAGAACCTCCCAAGGGGCTGGCAGAGTTGCATCATGGCGCACACTTTTCTTTCTCTGTGCCACTTAACAGTGCATCCTGGCAGTCAGTGCTGCTGCCAGCAAAGCACAGGATCACTTAGATATGGCTATGGAGTAAGGTCTGCAGATAGCAAAGGGGCATAAAGGAAAAAAGAAACCCACCAAATGCATGACTCTGATGGCCTGACCCCTGGCATATCTAGTGTAAATTATCTTTTGACAGCATCCAGTGAATCCCAGTGAAGGAGCTAAATGAAACTCCTCAGCATGGACAGTGGCATCAAGCTCTCTAAGCAATGCTGAGATGTGCTTGTTTTTAGCCTGTGGGTGGTCCGCAGCAGGTTTTATTTGCAAAGCAGCATTAGCAAACAGAAGCAATTGCACCGTAAATGAGTAACCTCTAAATTATCGGTAATTATATTTAATGAAATGTCCCTCAAAGTCCCTTTGTTGCCTTCAAGTGACACATTGTAGGGAACCCGCCCAGCTTGCTAAGCTGACTTCTCCGCAGCTTCAGTCTCCTGCTCCGACAGCTTCTCTTCTGACAGAACTGACATCCATGGCGACACGGAGCGTGTGATGCTCTGCTTGGCCAGGTTGTAGTGGTTTATGACAGTGTAAAATTTCTCCCGGGCACTGGAGTCTTGCTCCGTGTAGTAGCTCTCCAAGCCTTCTGGAATGCACTGGGTGTTCTGTAAGACAGGAGGCCATGGATATGATGGTAGATGCAGGGGTGGCCAGCGTGTGTCTGCAGAGAATATCCCCACCCCCGAAGTAGCTTCTAAGCATCTTCCCTGAGCTTGCAGGAATAAACACTAACAATGGACAAATGAGTGGGGCCTGCCCTCTGAGAGCATAGTTGTCTAGAAGATTGGCCGTGCTGCAGTGGGCACCTGGGCTCCCGGGATAGGTGTGATAGGCAGCCTCCCTTTGCCAAGTCTCTAATTGGCTGATTCGTCTGTTAGAAGCAAGGACACTTTTGACATGTCTACAGACAATCCACCCGAAATAAGAGGAAGAGCACCAAGGGAGGATTTCTTTGGGGGCCAGTGAAGAGGCTTGCAGTCAAGCCTGGCAACTAGTTCAGTCTCCAGGACCTGCTTGGTAGGAGGAAAGAACCGGCCCCTGCAAGTTAACCTCTGAGCTGAGCCATGCACCTAGCATGGCAGAACCTCTACCCTGCCCTAGGCCCCTATTAGGCTATGTGACTAACCTCAGAGAATATGAGTGGTTGTAACAAGCAGCTTTGGGGCTAGCTCCCAAAGCACAGTGTGTCCCCACCACTGTCCACATCCCCCTTCTCAACCAGCTCTGACCGCCCAGAGGAAAAACCTCAAGAGCCACAAGGCTGGAAAAGATGGGACCTGAGCTCCAGATGAGTCCCTGCACTGCCTTCCAATCTGGACTTCTGAGACCAATAAGCTTCCCACCCTGTTGAAGCCACTGTCACTCATGTCTAGCCACCCAAAGCTTGGTATCACGAAGCCTGCTCGGGTAGGAACCTGAGACCCCACAGTTGAGTCGTGGGGAACCTTTGGCCACCACCCATTCATTATCTGAGAGTTTTAAACCCATATACTCATCTCCAGCCCACAGTGGCTTAGCAGTCTGTGCTCAGCCCATCTGTATTTCAAATGTCTCCCTGGGGAGTGAGTCTGGCATCCCAGCCAAGGCCACAGCCCAGGACCCACTCCTGTTAGAGCCCTTCTGGGTTTTCACCCCATGACACACAAGGCTGAGTTATTCTCTTGGATGTCTCCATCCCCAACCAGTGTAGTAGACAGGGAGCCCAAGATATTTGGAAGTAGCTCCTGGGAACTTTGCCTGAGTCTGAAAGCCAAGGGCAGGTTGATGGGGCAACCCAACTGGGCACCCAACCTTACATCCTGTGCATCTCAAGCCTTCTTTCCATCCACTGGCAGCGAAAGGGGACTTCCTCTTGCCTATGCCAGATCTCTACTTTACTTTTCTTTTTTCTTTTTGGTTTTTTTGAGACAGGGTTTCTCTAGCTTTGGAGCCTGTCCTGGAGCTAGCTCTTGTAGACCAGGCTGGCCTCAAACTCACAGAGATCCACCTGCCTCTGCCTCCCGAGTGCTGGGATTAAAGGCGTGCGCCACCACCGCCCAGCCAGATCTGTACTTTTCAAGCCAATTCTCTCACAGTGAGGTTCATGCCACTCAGTCCATCTTCTAGGTGGAAAAGTGGAACCTAGAGAGGTGACGAGGCTCGCTGAAGCAGATGTGAGGACCACACAAGTAAATACGAGAGGCCAGCTCTAGCTGGGACCTCTCATCAGCACCATCTTCCACCACACACTGGGCCACCCTTCATGGGTGTCAATTCCTGATCCCCCACCCAGCTCAAGGATATAAAGAGTGCGAAACAGACCTTTCTATCGTCCCCACCCTGAGGACGGTGGGTCCACCCTGCTCTTCCCAGCATCTGCCACTGGCATCTACGGTCCAGCTAGCACTCTTACGTCCCTGCCTTGGCACACTTGGCCTCAGGAGTGCAGGCCAACTCGGCTTAATCACCCATGCTTCCTGGTGTGACAGCTACCATACTGTCGCCCCTCACAACCCTCAGAGGTGGAGATAACAGCACTCGGGGTGGCTCTGGCCTGCACAGTGGGAGCTTGAGAGGATGGCACACCCATAATCCCACTAAGCTGCCAGGCTTAGTGGGAGACCCTCTTCCAAAAGAGAAAGGAGAGAGATAACTGAGGAAGACAAGACATTGACATGGCCTCCAGGTGTGTAGTCCTTTACTGAGCCAAAGGCCACTACAGCTGGAATGTAGTATCACCCTCTGAATCCTGCATCACTTGACATTACGCTGCTGCTGCTGCTGCTGCTACTGCTGCTCGGTGTGACAGGGTGGAGCATGAAGGACGCTGATGGAGAAGAAGAGGCTGCAGTCATGGAGAGCAGCCATCTGGGCATATCTGAAAGCTATTGGGGGAGGGGTCCTGCTCTTGGGGGAGGAGTGAGCTCTCTCTCCTGAGGACCCCTCCTGCAAAGAGCCTGCTATGGGTGTAGGGCCTGGACAGTGGGGAGCAGCCAGCAGGTGGCTAAGAACCTAGCACAGCCTAAGCACAGGTGCTGATTAACTTCCCTGCTGGTCCCTCAACAAGGTCACCTGGCCTCTCCAGGAGGGGCAGAGGGTGGTATATAAGGAATCCTGGTAGAGCTGCCAGCAGGCAGGGCTTGCAGATCATCACTGTGGGGGACAGGAAGGTGATGGATGGCGACAGTGCAGGGCCCAGTGAGCACTTGGGATCCTGTGCAAATATAATCACGGCTGCAGCCTCCAGGCTTTCTTTTCTAGGCTGCCCTCCCTTGTGCCTTTCCTCAAAAGTGCCGCCGCCACTGGTGAGGTAGCTGACGCTGTAAAGGACGAGCCCTTGCTTGTGGAGACCCCGGTCTCCTTAGCAGCTCCCTGGATCCTGAAGTATAAAGCTTAGAAATGCCCGCAGGCTCGCGGGAGCACTGAGAGCTAGCTCCACAAAAGCAGTGGAGGGTGCTTATCCCTGACCCTGCCCTTGGTGCAGCACCTCCCGAGAGAGCACTGGCTGAAGCTGAGTGCTACAGACAAAGCCTGGCTTTAGCGCCAGGCCACAGCCCCAGCCCCAGCTGAGATCTCAAGTGCTCTTGTCAGAGCCCCAACCCCCTCATCTTTAAAATGGGGCTGGTGTGCCACACAGCCTGGCTGCTCTTGTAGTAAGGACCAAAGTTGGCATGGGGCAGCTCAGAAAGAAGCCAGAGCGTGGCCAAAGATAGATGAAATGTTCCGAGAGCCCTCCAGAGGACAGCCTGGAGTGTCCTTACACTGCAGAAGGAAATGGCTGACCAAGTTCTTCTTGCCCGCACCACCCTCACTCTGTCCTCGACGCATATCCCTCCCCAGTCCCTGGGGAAGTGGGGGGAAGGCTGCAGTCACCATTACTCCTGTCCAGTCTGGCACACAGCACAGGACCCTGCTGGAGCT